ACTGGCACTTGGTTTCATCTCAAAGGTCACTTCCTACCAAGGGCCTTCAATGACCACCTTCTAGTGGAAGCAATCCCTGGGCTCCCGAGGGCCAGTGCCCAGTGGAGGGAGGCTGCCCACCTCCCACCCATCTGCAGGGCCGCCCGCCCCTGCAGCCAGAGAACACAGGACTTCTCTGCCCTCCTTGCACCGAGGGAAATAGCCACAGACGTCTCCCACCTCCTGCAGGTGTGGCCTTCCCCCACACACCCAGTGACAAGGAGCTCCCTCCCCCAGCCTCAGAATGGCCCTACTTTACAGAGGAGTAAACCCAGGCTCTGAGTAGGGAAGTGACAAGGCCCAGGGTCACACAGCTGGTCAGAGGTGGAGCTGGGACCCAACTCCCATGAGCTGTCAGAAGCCTTCTGGGCCTTATCTGCCGGCGGGGGGGTGCGGGGGCGGGGGGGGGGAGAGGAGGGATCGGAGGGGTAGGGAAGACAGGGAGGCCGCACAGGACTGCTCCCTTTGGGCCTGGGGCAGCCTGGGACCTAGCTACTCTCCTCCGGGTCCAGCTTCTCCACCACCATGTTGAGCCCTGTGGACTCAGACTGGGCCCTACCTCAGGGCTTCCAAAACAGGAGCCTTGATAGGGACCCAAACCAGCACTGGAGATAAATCTGTGTTCTCAGCCCCAGAGTCAATACCATGACAACCGTAACAACAACACGAAGGGCGGGTAACACTGAGTTGCCCTGTGCCAGGCGCTCAGCAGACACACTTCCCAGTTAAACACATGAGCCCCACGATGCAGGACGATGAATAGGCCCCTTGTACAGAGGAGGAAACTGAGGCTCAGGAAGGTGACGTCACTTGCCTAAGGCCTCCGAGAGGGGAAAGAGCTAATTCATTTTCCCACCGGGCCCTCTGCACTCCTGACACCTGGTTTCCCACAAAGGGTTATTTTAAGGGCAGTTTTTTAAAGTGAAGTTTTCTAGGGAAGCCACGCTATCGTGCAGATAAGATGTGTTTGGCCATTATTTGCCCTTGGTGGTGTCTCAGCCTCGAGACTTTAAAAGTGATGAGAAAACAGTTATTTTTTATCTGCAGCTTCAGGCTACGTTTGGAATAAAATGCTCACTCCTCATGGCTGCCTCTGCCCTCACACACTCCCCCATGGCCCGTCTCCCCTTTCTGCTCCCCCAAACTGGCCTTGTCTGTTATTCTTTCTTCAAAACGTATGAATCACTTTCCCATGTCAGGCTTTGCTCATGCTGTTCTCACTGCTGGTACACCCAGAGATTCTTAGCTCAGGATTAACGCCTCAGTCCAAAGTCACCTGCTCAAGACTCAGGTGAGGCTTTGCTGTTTAGCCTGAGGTGCTGGCGTGGGGCAGGCACTTGGCGGATGGGACGGAAGTCCACAGAGGGACACGGGCTTGGGCTGGAGCAGCACTTCAGCAAACAGCACTGCACCGGGCAGAGTTGGGACCCGCCCTCACACCTAACACAGCTGATTTGGGGTGGATGGTGGTACAAAATGGGGAGGCCCACACCATAAGCTTCAGAAGACAAGACAAGAAAGAACTTCATGACCTGAGCAGGCAAAGGTTTCTTAAAGAGAACACAAAGTCCTAGCTGGTTTGGCTCCATGAATAGAGCATCTGCCTGTAGACTGAAGGGTCCCAGGTTCGATTCTGATCAAGGGCACATGCCCAGGTTGCGGGCTCAGTCCCCATGAGGGGGTGTGCAGGAGGCAGCCAATCAATAATTCCCTCTCGTTATTGATATTTCTTTCTCTCCTCCCCCCCTCCATCCTCTCTGAAATCAATAAAAAATACTTTTTAAAAATAAAATATAAATGGGACATAAAAATCATTAACCATAAGGAAATTGATAAACTTCACTACATTAAAATTAAGAACTTATATTAATGAGACAGTTTCATTAAAGGGGTAAAAAGGCAATCATTCATACAACTTAACAAAGGGAAGATTAACAACCCAATCAAACAATGGGCAACGGACCTAAATAGAAATTTTTCGAAAGAGGACATAAGGAAGGCCTAGAGACATATGAAAACATGCCCAAAGTCACTAATTATACGAGAGATTCAAATCAGAACGACAGTCCGCATTGGTGGTATAGTGGTGAGCATAGCTGCCTTCCAAATCAGAACGACAATGCAGTACCATCTCACAACTGTCAACAAACAACAAGATGCGGAGAAAAAGGAACCCTCTGCACTGCTGGTGGGAATGCAGACTGGTGCAGCCACTGTGGAGAACAGCATGGAGTTACCTTAAAAAACTAAAAACGGATCTCCCATTCAACCCAGTGATCCGCTTCTAGGATATATCCCAAGAAAAGAGAAACACCAATCAGAAAGGATATATGCACCACTATGATCATAGCAGCACAATTTACCATAGCTAAGATTTGGAAACAACTTAAATGCCCATCAGCAGATGAGTGGATTAAAAAACTGTGGTACTTTATACCATGGAATACTACGTGCTGTAAAAAGGAAGGAACTCCTACCATTTGCAATAGCATGGAGGGACCTGGAGAGCATTATGCTAAGCGAAATAAGTCAGTCAGAGAAAGACAGATATCACATGACCTCACTCATTTGTGGACTCTAATGAACAATAAAAACTGATGAACAAAAACAGATCCAGAGACAGAGAAGCATCGATCAGATGGTCAAACCTCAGAGGGAAGGGATAAGGGGGGGAGATCAACCAAAGGGCTTGTGTGCATGCATATGAGCCTGACCAATGGATACAGACACCAGGGGGGTGAGGGCATGAGCGGGGGCCGGTGGGCAATGAGAGAATAAGGACACATATGTAACTCCTTAAACAATAAAGAGAGAAAGAAGGAAAAAAAGCAACCAACCCACATAGGGGAGAAGATATTTACAATACAAAGGAAGTGTATCCAGAATATATATAAAAACTTACAAATCAATAAGATAGACAACTCAATCAAAACGTGCCTCATGAATCCAATCCAATGCCCACTGACCATGAGACATCAGGCAAAGGCAAAGGAAAGCCGCAGTGAGACGCCAGGGCACAGCCACTGGAAGGGCTGAAATGAAACGCACGGTTTAGAATTTTCTTACCAAGTTAAACCCGCAATGACCGCGTGACCTGGCAAGCCCCCTGCTAGGACTCTACCGAGAAATGCAAATCTCTGTCCACACAAAGAGCTACCTGAGCTTTTACAACAGCATTATATGTTAAAGTCCCAAAGTGGAAATGACCCAAATATCCATCAATGGGTGAAAGAGTAACTAATTGGGGTGCAACGCAAGGAAATACCACTCAGGGTGAAAAGAAACCACCCACGGAGAACATGGACCATCTCTAAAACATTATGCTGAGTAAAGAAGCCAGACATCAAAGGCAGCATGCCGAGGATCCACTCACAGGAAGTTCAAGAACAGAGAACTGTAGTCCGGGGCAGGAGCCCATGTGGCTGGCTGACAGAGGGAGACACGCTCACACACTAAGGTGCACATCCCACACTTGGGATTCTTTGACCACACCCCGTCCCAACCACCAAATTAGGGCCCCTCGGTTATCCTCACTGCAGCCACACTGCTCTGCCTCTAGGACACAGCAACTCGACACACCTGAGAAGAGACAGCACAGGAGTGGGAACACGGACCCTGCGCCATACTGCACAGGTGGAATTCAGATGGTTACAAAGGGAAAAGGCACAACTGTTAAAACCTGAAAGAAAACAAGACATCCACAAAGTATGGGAGTGCAAAGGAATTCCATCATAGTTTTGAACCCCTAGAAAACCTCAAGTTTTTTCATAGTCAGTTTGTGACAGAGCCTTTTTTTTTTTAATATATATTTTATTGATTTTTAACAGAGAGAAAGGGGGAGGGATAGTCAGAAACATCGATGAGAGGGAAACATCAATCAGCTGCCTCTTGCACCCCCCCCCCCCCACCGGGGATGTGCCCGCAACCAACGTACATGCCCCTGACCGGAATCGAACCTGGGACCCTTCAGTCCGCAGGCCGACGCTCTACCACTGAGCCAAACCGGCTTCGGCTGTGTCAGGGCCTTTTTAAAAATATATATATATATATTTTTTATTGATTTCCGAGAAGAAGGAAGAGGGAGAGAGTAACATCAGTGATGAAAGAGAATCACACTGGGACGGAGTCCACACCCAGGCGGCGCCCTGATGGAACTGAACTGTGCCCTCCAGGCCCATAGGTCCATGCTCACCGGGAGCCCGCCCCGACAGGCCTTCAAGGCCCCGTACTGGCCTGCCCCCTAGGGTGTCCCTGGACCTTCTACCAACCCCTCCTGGAGCCGCTCAAAGCCCTGGGAGTCACCGAAAAACAGGAGAACCTGAGAAACCGTCCCAGCCAGGAGGGCCCGAGGCCTGCCGGCGGAACCGAACACAGTCATCCAGCGCGATGGAGCGGAAACGGCACATGAGGGGGGAAACAGCAAACTCCAAAGACACCTCAAAGCCTCGTTAACAGTGATGACCAATGTGGGCTCCTCATGGGAGAAGAAACCATCTTTCCTGTCAAACAAGGGAGTCTAGCGGCCGCCATTTTGGCCGTGTGATGTGCAGCTCACACGGGGCCGCCATTTTGAAACGGCACATGTCAACCCCTTCCTTTGAAGGAGCCCGAAGCACAAGACTTCAGCTTCAGCCCGGCCCTCCCGGCGGGAGCGAGGGCCGCGCCTGCGGGTGCCGCTCAGGGTGCTCGCCGCCGGGCTCTGAGGCGGCGCCTTCCTCAGAAGCCGAGGCGCCGGCCTGCCGCCGGGCTCCATCCGCCCGTGTCCCCCCAGGCCCCCGGGTCTGGGGCTGCCCTATTTCTAAACAGTCGCTATGGCGAAGGCACCAAATGACCCTCAGAGGAAAGGCTCCCTGGTGAAAGGGTGTGCGCCCTTCCCTCGCACCTGGCGGCGGCAGGAGGCCCGCCCTCGGGTCGCCGTGTCGCCCTCGTGTGGCCGCGGGAGGGGCGTGCGCAGCGCTTACCTTGGGCGGGTCGAAGAGCTCCAGGCCGCGGTCCGCGCCGCCGGGGCCCCGGGCGCGCAGGGCCAGGCGCCCGCGCTGCCAGCGCGCCCCGCTGTCCATGGCGGCCTCGTCGGCCAGGCTGTAGCGCAGCACGGCCTCCTTGAGGGCCTCGAGCGGCGGCTCCCGGGCCAGGCTCCAGGGCAGGAGCTTCCGGGCCAGGCTGGGCTTGGCCCGGGCCTCCCCCGCGGCCCCGGCCGCCGGCAGCTCCCCCGCCGAGCGGCGGCGGATGATGTGGCGGAGGCTGTGGCGCAGGTGCTGGAGGGCGCAGGGCACCGGCCGCGGCGGCGCCAGCTCCTCGGAGCTGCGGGCCTTGGGCAGGGCGGGGGCGGCGGGGCCGGGGTCGGGCTCGGCGGGAGGCGCCTCGGCCTTGGCCGGGGGCCCGCGGCCCGCCTCCCGGTAGTCCCGGGCCGGCGGCCCCGGCGCCCGGCCCTGGCGCACCTCGCGGCAGAAGTAGCGCTGGAAGAGGTCGGTGAACTGCAGCGACACGAGCTCGGCGCGCAGCGGCGCGTGCTGCGGGTGCTCCCGGACGAAGAGCCAGTACTGCCGCGCCAGCTCCCGCGCCGTGGCCGCCGCGTGCAGCTCGCAGAACTCGCTCCAGCCCCGCGGGGCCGCGGCTGCGGACGGGGCGGCAGAGGGCGCGGAGGAGGGCTGCAGGGTGGGCCCGTTCATGGCGGTGACGGGGGTGGAGTGGCCAGGCTGAAAGACACAGGGGACAGGCAACAAGCAGTGAGCAGACAGGTGAGGGTGGACCGCTAACCCCGCGCCGCGGCTTGTCCTTCGCCGGGCACCACGGCGGAACGCGCGGCCCACGCGGGACCAGACTGACTTCCTGGCTCGCAGTCCACACCCGGCCACGGAGCACCCCGGTCACACACGGTGTTAACGCCCCGGCTCTTTAAAGAGAGGGCTTGTTAGGCCAGACGGCTAAGGAGGAAAGACAACCGTCCTGAGCCCCGAGTTTTGCAAGTTTTTATACATCACGTGTGGGTGTGGGTGGGGTGAGGGGTTAAGCCCATCTGAAAGGATTTACATTAGCTACAGCCAGAGGGGATGGGGAAGTGATGCAAGCACACCCCCACCCACACCCACACCCACCGGGTTGGCTCCTGCGGGTAGCAGATCAGAAACTTCATGTGTAAATGAGAAGCGGTAATCGCGGAAATGGCCACTTGAAAATTAATCCTAAATTTCAACAGTCACACGGGAATGAACTGAGCAGTCTGTCCTCAGAGCTGGCCCACAGCTGTAACTGCTCTGCCTCACTCTCAGATTGTGTCATTTTAACTTAGATTTTTTTTACTGTCACAACCTACACGCCCATCAGTCAGAGTGGGTGACCCGGCAGCTGGAATGTTCTGCAGCCGTGGGGAAGGATGTGGAAGATCCACACCGCCACACAGGAGACGTCTCCAAGGTACACCGGGAAGCAAACAAAGCGAACCACAGAACAATACCAACTGGGATCCTGTTTACACACACACAAAACCGGGCTGCCCGTTTCCGGAGTGTGAGTGAGCATTGGGCAAGAAGGTGTGGCTGGCCGAAGCCGGTTTGGCTCAGTGGTAGAGCGTTGGTCTGCGGACTGAAGGGTCCCAGGTTCGATTCCGGTCAGGGGCATGTACGTTGGTTGTGGGCACATCCCCAGTAGGGGGCGTGCAGGAGGCAGCTGGTCGATGTTTCTCTCTCATTGACTGACGTTTCTGGCTCTCTATCTCTCTCCCTTCCTCTCTGTGAAAAATCAATAAAAAATATATTTAAAAAATAAAAGTAAAAAATAAAAGTAAAAAATAAAAAAGAAAGGTGCGGCTGGAGCAAACCCGTCCAGAAACAGCGGTGACCTCTGGGGATCAGGGGGCATGTACTGAAGGAAGAATTACTACTTGTCTCCAGGAATGTGGTTAAGAGCACCGAGACCGTTCGCTAGATACCCTGTATGCCATTGTTTCCGAGTTGCCTAGCAAGAATTTTCCTCCACATACTTCTGGCTCTTCCTAACATCTGTAAACCGCCCCTTCTCACTTAGGACATACAGGACCCACCTCCCTTTTCCTTTGTCAAAAAATGTCTTATAGAGCCAGTGTTGCCTCACTGTCTTAGGAATTTCATGCTTACGTGAACTCCCCAGGAGCATGAATTCAAACTTTGATTTTCTCCTGTTTAAAAAGAGAGAGAGAGAGAGAGAGAGAGAGAGAGAGAGAGAGAGAGAACGAACACAAAGCCTGGGTTCAAATCCCAGCACCACCACTTACTAGTTGTGTGATCTTGGGTGAGTTCTTTACTTTCTCTCTACCTTAGTTTCTTCACCTGTAAAATGGGGACCATGATTATACCTATCTCATAAGAGTGTATGAGGATTGAGTTAATTAATGTAAAGGCCTCAGAAACAAAGAAAAGCTTAATAAGGGTTGGCTGCTTTTATTGTTAATTAAATGTTAGAGTGTATTATTGTCAATAAAAACAAATATTAAAAAAGAAATAAAAAGGAATAAATTGTCTAGGCTCACAAGAGGTGGAGGAATGTCAGGACAGCCTCTCTGGTGGAGGAATGTCAGGACAGCCAACCCTCGCCCACCCACCTCAGCTGGGTCTCCTTCTAGCCCACCTCTATGTCCTTCCGCGGGTACCTCGCCATCACAGGGCAGAAGCCCCCCAACCCTCTGCTGTCCGAGGTGCTGAACCCTGGAGCTCTCGTTAGCATCAGGACTGGCTTTCCAACTAAACTAGGCTGGGCTCAGGCCCCCACTGGGGACACATAATCATGGCTGCTCGTTCACCTCCCCAAAATGTATTATTGAGGTCCTACTATGTGCCAGGCACTGTGGTAGGCCTTGGCGATACAACAGTAAACCAGACAGAAATGCCTGTTTTCCTGGGGTTACTTGACACACCCATGCTCACATACATACACACGTATGTACTGGTTGTGTGTCCTCTGACACCTGACTCAAGTCTGTCACACTGGGAGCAGTATGGTATCGATGACATACGGTGGTTGTAAAGAGTCCTTGAAAACAGGTCTCAAATGTCAAATGGAGATTGGAACCCCAAAAATGGATTCTTTCACCCCACCATTTCCAGGCTCCGGTGGTGACCCTGGAGCTGATCAAGAACACCCCAGCCGGGAGGGTGCTGTGCACACAGCTGACATTTTTGCACATCACAGTGTCCTGGGCACATAGTAGGTAATCAGAAAAAGCTGCCGGGCAGAGGGAGAGGGAGAGCCACGTGCCCTTGGTCACCTGTCCTCCCGGGCCAAACCCTGCAGCTGTGTCCACTCCATGCTGTGTCCCTGCCCAGGCGATGGCAGGCCACGGCCCCATTCCAATTTCTCCAGAAGAGTGGTGTGTACTAAGGGAGCCCTTGCCACCCCTCACACATTTTTCTAACTACCCTTGCAAAACATTAACTCTCCCACGCTTCATGACAATACTTGGAGGTATTGCCAATAACTGCTCCCATTGTATAGATGGAGAAACTTAACACACAGAGGTCCCACAGCTAAGGATGAAACCCCTGCACCAAAATGCCCTGTGGGTGCCAAATGCACCCCATGAAGACTTGCTTCTGCCCTGATCGGTTTAGCTCAGTGGGTAGAGCATTGGCCTGTGGACTGAAGGCTCCCAGGTTCGATTCCGGTCAAGGGCATGTACCTTGGTTTGCGGGCACATCCCCAGGAGGTAGTGTGCAAGAGGCAGCTGAATCGATGTTTCTCTCTCATCAATGTTTCTAACTCTCTATCCCTCCCCCTCTCCCTTCTTCTCTGTACAAAATCAATAAAATATATATTAAAAAAAAAAAAAAAAAGACTTGCTTCCTAGTGAATGTTATTGAAGAAATGAGTAAAGGTCTCATTCAATTTTCCTGTCCAGGTCTCCAACCCACCAGGTGGTCAGAAAAATAGCCACAGGGTTGAAGCTGACTTGGCTCAGTGGTAGAGCGTTGGTCTGCGGACTGAAAGGTCCCGGGTTCGATTCCGGTCAAGGGCATGTACCTTGGTTGCGGGCACATCCCCAGTAGGGAGTGTGCAAGAGGCAGTTGGTCGATGTTTCTCTCTCATTGACATTTCTAGCTCTCTATCCCTCTCTCCTCCTCTCTGTAAAAAATCAATAAAATATATTAAGAAAAAAAAGAAAGAAAAAGAGCCACAGGTGAAAATAAAAAAACAAAAATAAGAAAAGGTACTAGCCTGACCAAATAGCTCAGTGGTTAAGCATCAACCTATGAACCAGGAGGTCACAGGTTCCATTACCAGTCAAGGCACATCCCAGGGCTGAGGGCTCAATCCCCAATAGGGAGCATGCAGGAGACAGCCAATCAATGATTCTCATCATTGATGTTTCTTTCTCTCCCTCTCCCTTCCTCTCTGAAATATACACAGTGGCCAGATTATTATGATCTCTGAAAGCATAAACTGGCCACTCAGAGTGAGAGTGAGAGAGAGTGCATGTGCGTGTGCGTGTGTGTGTTAGAGGCCCGGTGCATGAATTCATGCATGAGTGGGTCCAGCCAGTTTAGCCAGGGGGAGGGGACGTGGGCAGTTGGCTGGCCTGCCTGCTAGATGAACTCCTAGTCAAGGGGACAATTTGCATATTAGCCTTTAATTATATAGGTTATACACTGAGATTATGCGTTCAGAGATAATAATCAGGCCACTCAGTGTATACATGTATACACACACATACAGGTGCACAAAATTCGTGGAGGGGGTTGTCCCTCAGCCCAGCCTGACCCTCTCCCATCTGGGAACCCTCAGGGGATGTCTGACTGCTGGTTTAGACCCGATTCCTGTAGGATTGGGCCTAAATTGTCAGTTAGACATCCCTCTTGCAATCTGGGACTGCTGGCTCCTAACCAGTCACCTGCCTGCCTGCCAGATTGCCCCTAACTACTTTGCCTGTCAGCCTGCTCATCCCCAACTGCCCCCCCACCAGCCTTCTCACCCCCAACTTCTGCCCCTTGTTGGCCTGATAACCCCGAACTTCCCCCCCTTGTTGGCCTACTCACCCCCAACTGCCCTCCCTGCTGGCCTGATCGCCTCAACTGTCCCCAACTGCCAGCCTGCTCTCCTTCAACTGTCCCCCTCCCCCCGCCCAGCCTGAGAACCCCCAACTGCCCTTCCCTCCTGGCCTGATCGCCTCTAACTGCCTCTGCCTCAGCCCTGTCACCATGGCTTTGTCCAGAAGGTCTCCCAGTCTAATTAGCATATTACCCTTTTATTAGTATAATTTTTTATTTTTATTTTTTTGAATATATGTTATTGATCTTTTACAGAAAGGAAGAGAGAGGGATAGAGAGTTAGAAACATCGATGAGAGAGAATCATCGATCAGCTGCCTCTTGCACACCCCCCACAGGGGATGTGCCCGTAACCAAGATACATGCCCTTGACTGGAATCGAACCGGGACCCTTCAGTCCGCAGGCCGACCCTCTTATCCACTGAGCCAAACCGGTTTCGGCAATAATTTTTTATTTTAAAAAGGGTACTAGTTCATGCTATCTGTGTCCTGTTCTATTCCAAACATTTCGCATTTATCACTTGTTTATTCCCCAACATTATGCCCATTTTATAGTTGAGAAAACGAGGTGTTCGAGGTGTGGCTTGCCAGGGTCACAGGGAGTGAGGGGCAGAGGCCTGGCTAGAGCAGGTACTCTAGAAATACCAGCTGTATGCATTAATGAACCACTGCCAAACCACA